AGCTGGATACAGAGTAGCAATGTTATTTTAGAAAATTTTGTAATACATTGAATAAAATAGAACTTGAAAATATATACAGTGTACTATTATATGCTGCTGTTGTTGTTGTTGTTGTTGTTGTTGTCGTCGTCGGCGGCAGCGGCGCTATTGTTGTTGTTGTTGTTGCTGCTGCTGCTGCTGGTGTTGTTGTTATTGTTGTTGTTGTTGTTGTTTAAAGAAAAAAGTAACTTTTAATAAGAAGGTTAAACACAAATTAAAAAGGTCATTTTCAGTTATTTAAGATGATTTTCATTGACCTTTTTCGGGAATAATCGTAAATAGTACATGTACATTCAATTCAATTCAATGTCTTCATTTCCGCCCAGAAGGTGCGATTTACTGATACTTACATTACAAATACAATGAGGAAATACACAACATAAAAGTAAAGCAATACAAAAGTATGAAAAATGATTAAGTATAGGTTAGTGTTTATTAGATTAAATTGGTCAAAAACGACACAGCCGATTTACTAAAGTAAATATGAGCCGCGTCACGATAAAACCAACATAATGGGTTTGCGACCAGCATGGATCCAGACGTTTAACAAAATTTATTTATAAATTACAGAAATATTGAAAATTATATAAAGATAATATATAGAAATAAAAAAAGCAGAGACATTAATGTAATTGCATATCGATAGTTCAGATTAATCTCTATATACATCGAAACAAAAATTCAGATTTACATTTAATTCAAATTTTGTTTCATTTTCCATTTATTTTTTCAAAAAATAGTAACATAAATAAATCATGAAATATTACGCCAATGGAACATTTTACTGATTGTTTGATCACCACAATGAAAGCATTAATTCGTGAATAATCATAATGTTCTACCAGTGAAAAATCTAATTTTTTATCTTTAAATGAGTAAGACTAGCTTCCAGAAACGTTAAAAGCTTTCGAGTCACATGGAACAAATTCGAAAAAAAACTTTTGAGTCTTAGCAACATCGAAACAAAGTTCAATCTTGAAGGATTGTTTTTTGACCATTCTCATTTGGAACAGATTACGCGGAATGTCATCCGGGACATTTATAAAGTCTACAATCCATATATAAACGTCATCATATCAAAGTTGATTGTCCGCTCGAAATGTAGTATCAAACAAGCAACACTATGACCGACCAAAGTCGCGTGCCATTGTATTTTAAATAATTTTGGCGCCAGACTGTTGACGTTTGACGGGAGTAGTTCGTAAAAGCCACTTATTTACACAAGCATATTTTGTTTGTTTGGGGGTGGGGGCGAGAGATTAAATTAAATACTAATAATACGTTTTTATATTTACAGGTATATTTGATCTGTCACTGAATTTAACCTAATTGAATTAATATCTTATCACTGTATTATCATATGGCACCGCAACATTAATAAATGCGTCGCATTGTTTTTCGTCGTTTCGCATTGGTGTTCGTCGTTTCTCATTGCCAATTGTCGATTTGCAGTGTTGTTCGTCGTTTTGCATTGCCGTTCTTTGTTACACGTTGTCAGCTATCGTTTCCCAATGTACGTTGTCGATTTGCATTGACGTCTTTCGTTTCGCATTGTCAATCCATTAATTGTCGATTGTTCGAGAGTCGTTTCACACTCGCATTTCCGAGTGTAGTTTTGTCACTTGTCTGTGTCACACTACTGACGTCACATTGTCTTTAAAAAATTTCGCGTAATAAGCGCTAGGCACAACGACCGACGTCCGAAAATTGCACTATATATAGTCGCATAGTATCTTATATATTTTGTACGTTTGCAAAGCAGGTTGAGGTGTAAGAATATCATGGTGGGAAAAATTTGCTTAAAATGTTCACTGCTTAATTGAGTCTTTTCATGCACGGTTCGAGGTCCAGCAGCGTTCTGAGTACACTTATAATTGCGTGGGAGTGGTATAGCACGGAGGCTTATAACATGAATGGAATAGTTTACATTATATAAATTATTTAAACAAGACTCAAATACTATTGGGGATTCGATAACGATCTTGGCTTGTGGTTTTTCTAATGCGGTTTAACAGTGGGATGAGTTTTAAAAAGATATTTGCAGACGACTTTTTTTAAAATAGTATTAACACTTCATTACAGTAAAGAGGACTACATTTTACACTTGAATTTGGATTTAATTGGTAAAAATTTTGACTTTACAATTTTTATATTAAAATATTTTTTATCTATATTTGAATATTGAAAAGAAAGCATTCGTGATTTGATAAGCTCCAAAAAGAAGTGCTTTCTATAAATGGGGTCAGTTTTAGCTCTATGTGTGTGATGTTTATTAACCTAAGTGTATAATTTATTACAGACATATTGTACTCCTGTTGATGTAATTTCTTTCAAGTTGCCGACCTAGGTGGTGCATCTCCTTTTAGAATCATTCTCTTTAATTAAGATTCTCTTTTATCCAAACATTGCCTTAGTCATATAATGGATACTTAGATTTGAGAGGGATTCCTCACATGTCAACGTAACGGACCCGTGCGAGAAAGTGACAATAAATTAAGACAAGGAAAATATTCGCAAACAATGATATAACCAGGGTATTTTTATGTAACTGAAGCCGGCTATAATATCAATCTTTAACTCTTTATCTAAAGCATTAACCCCCGGTCGGCATTCTTTGAAGTTCCTTTGATAGAGTATTCCATTTATTTAAAACATTTTTCAATTTATTATTATTTTCTACAACGTGTCAGCTTTGAAAAACTTTGTGCTTTCTCATCGTGTAGTTTTGTTTTATGTCCTTTAGGGTTTGCTTAATCTTGCTACTGTTCTTTTTGAACAAAGAATGTTTTTTTTACTACATTTATATATATTTTGTGACTAACTTACGCAAATTCCTACACTGATAAATACGAGAGTGAAATAATTCTGCCGTGTCATGTTACATAATATCAATGTCATTTTATCGTATTGTAGAAAAAAGAGAGAGAAAAGTACCTTTATTTACATGCTATGACGTCTATTAATCAAAAAGAACTTCGTAATGAAATGTTATGGTTTCCAATTTGGGACTTTTTATAATTTAAATGACGCAACCGTATGCTTATTATATATCTATATAAAATATTTGAAAATCAACTCTAGACTATAAGGTAAAAGCAAAACCTGTTGATTTCAGAGATCTAAGTAGAAGCGGCGGGCAAGTACAGGCGTTCTTCGCTAAAATAAGGCAGTTTAAATGTATAAATAATAAACCTGACATGGACCTGCGCACGCTACTAATTCAAAGCCAGTGGCATTGTCCTGCGCGCGACACTAAAATAAAACCAGTGACATTCTGGTCATCCGACCTTATTCTTTTAGTACTTGGGGCATTACAAGAGTAATTCCATTTTCCGTGTACGACAGAATATAATACATTTTATAATTATGTTTCATTGCCATCGGAAACCAACCCCACATTCTTACCGTTGGTATTATTTCATTACATTTTTCAAGTGTTGAGCCTTCAAACTTCAAAACATTAATTAATGATACAAGACTAGTAAGAAAATGGCTCAAACCGAAGAGCTCTTAATTCATGGTGTCATCACATGTTAAGCAACACCGTCACGTTTCAGAAAATATGTTATGATTATCTACCTGCATAGTTTTTTTTCAGGGGTTTTATTACATAGTTTTTCTCATCAAAATTAAAATATCAAAACACGCGCTAATAAATCATATTCTTATTTTATCGTACCTCGATTTAGGACACATTACACAAGAACGTAATTAATTTGATATGAAAAATGCCGGCAAAAATCCCCGTTTCGTATCCGATATAATTATAGAATTGCTTGTACGCAAGTGTTTGTTGTATCTTTTAAAGGAAAAACGGGGAAACGTGAATCATCTATAAATGTATGCATGTATAATTAAATGCTTGATATTTATTCATCCTCATTATCTGATGGAAAACGTTATTTCCCTTCCGCGTGTTTTTATTTAAAGCAAAACAATACGTTAGTAGGCAATATTTTTTTAAGTTGTTAGTTATCATGGCAAAGAATGATTTTTATTATCATATGTCGCCAAAATGACTTGTTTTGTTATTGTTGGGGTTGTTGTTGTTGTTGTTGTTGTTGTTTTGTCTTTTTTTATATTACCTTATCACAGCTTGTATGTTTGAAAATTAGAATTCGGTTGATATGTATGATGATTATCCTCTTGACGATGATAACATCGCTGATAAGGATAATATCATCATCATCATTATACATCATTTCCGTCATCATTTTCATCGTAATCATTATCTAAGTTAACTTCATTATTGCGTTTATCATCTTCATCATCATCATCAGTGTTGTCATCATCATCATCATCTTCATCATCATCATCAGTGTTGTTGTCATCATAATCATCATCATCATCATCATCATCAGTGTTGTCATCATCAGCATCTTCATCATCAGTGTTGTTGTCATCAACAACAACACATCATCATCATCATCGTCATCGTCGTCCTTATCACTATTAACAACAACATAAAAACAACAACATCATTACCAACATTATCATTATCATCGTCATCGACGATTATATATTATCAATCATATCACCAAAATTAAGTTACGTCACGATTTTTTATTATAATTGCGTTATAAAGTTATAAAGTGTTTATATTGCGTTTTAGATTTTTTTTGCCCTGGTTCAAGGCCGAATTGTCGGTATCTCCGTATTTTATATTTACATATGACTCTGTATTGCAACATAAACAAAGACTTTTTGGGATCCTATATAGATAAACATCCGTGATGTTTTAAGATACATGTTTAATAACTAACATCAATTAATCATACTACATGTATTAACTACAAGCTATATTTGGTATTCTCGGAAGCCAATTTCTTATAATTATTCGTATGAAAAAAAGAATTCCTGGCAACAGAACAAGAAAATGGAATAATAAAAATGTTTTGTATTATTTGAGGACGTTTACATTGTGTTACATTAACGATACGTTTAAATTTGTTTGTTTTCAGTGGCAGCAACTAAATTGGCACAGATTCATATAATTGACGGTATCCGGACTGCGATTCAGTGACAGCAATTAGACACACGTACATATAATATACGGTACCCGGATTACGGTTCCAGTGGCAGCAACCAACTTAACACACATCTAAATGTGACAACAGACATAACAGTCAATATGATTATAAGCACGGTGAATTTTGTGAACAATTATAAATTCAGTGACTTTATCCTTGACAAAATCACAGAAGAGCAGAAAATAATAGATGAAGAAATTAAGACAGCCTCGAAAAGACATTCATTGTGTTTACCGGTATCTCCTAAGGTAAGAATTACATTTTTCATTAAATTAAAAACTAAGTTTATAACATTACGTTTTGGGTCCTGAATGCAATTCCGGATACATCAGTTATTAGATTAGTCAGTATAGTTTTGTGTTTGGAAATTGTGAGATTCTAAAACGAACACAATATGGCTCTTCCTCTGGAAACTGTAAAACTTCAGGAAAAAAGATCATTTAATGACCAGTGTAGTTTATGTAAATACATAGGGTCCTACTTCCATCAGTATACAAATTTTCATTAACAATAATTGAAATAAAAATGGAGAACTACAGTAGTTATTCTTTTGGGGATGTTCAAGGACAGAGGTATATAAAGTTTCAAATAAAACGTACATATTGCGCTCTGACGTACAGATGATGCTGAATTTCATTTTGTCAATCTTTTACTCTGCCTTCCCGAATTATGACGGAAATAGCAGAAAAGTTACGAACGATGTGAGCATTTCCCCATTTGTTCGATTTAAATTTGATCGTGATTCAAATTTAAAGTGCTCTATATCTTAATGTTTACCATCACAAGACTGTTTCCATAAGCATTGTCCTATTTGTATTCGCCCTATGACAATGCCTTATTTTCAAATTTTCTGACTTTCTGTTCATTTCACCATTCATTTTAATGTAACCTCGAAAACAAGGTCAACGTTTTCTGATCACTACGTTGGTTTAAAACGTTACAATTTCTTTTTTACGTACTGTAACTTTCAAAAATATGTAAACAGCCTTTGCAACTTATTACTTCCATCAAATTTATTATGAAGTCTTACTTTTGGAAGAATTGTAAGTGTTGTTGTATACAGGTGATTACTCTTCAGATGGCCGCTGTGTACAGGTTGCGCTGTAAATTTAAATTTCATCATTTCTTATAATGTACAGACATCTTCCGATTTTGAGAAAAGTTCATCAGTTAGAACACCAAGTCGAACACGAATTTACATCAGCTGTATATATAATATATATACATAAAACATGTGACAATACTGACTGACTGCATTAAAGATTATCAGTTATTTAAATATATTATATAGCTGTATATAAATATCTATGATTCATTGTCCTGGATTTCCCCAATATTGAACTCGGTCGTAGACATAAGGTAATATAAATAGGTCATATGATAGAAGTTGCTATGTACAAATATATACAAATAAATACATTTACTCTGTCCGTGCTTTATCACATAGTAAGTATAGAAAGAAAATAACTTAAATAGGTCTAGGGCGTGGTTTGTGAAACATTTGATAAATTGACTCAATTTTTTGTGTAAATTTGAAGTAAAGGTGGGTTTAATTGAAGGCGTGGCTGTTAAAATATATAATTTATTTCATCGAAAATGTTAATCGGTCAGATTAAAGTCTGTGGCTTATTTACAAATAAGAAATAAATGGTGCTAATATTTGCTTGTTAGATATGGGTCAGTCGAACTACACTTTTGTCACTGAAGTTTTTTTTGTATACAAATTGATACACACGCTCAGTCAGGTATCATAGTAACCAACACAGCCCTAAGTCAACCGACTCCTTATTCATATCTTTTTTTTCATAAAAGAAAAAATAATGCTTAAAATATAGCTAGATTTATGACCTCCCTTAGTCATATGTCTTTTTATAAAAGTAAAAAATGCTTAAAATATATAGCTAGATTTATTACCCTAATCTAACCAACTGCTTAATTTATTTGTCTCTTTTTTTTAAAAAAGAAATACTCAGAATATAAGAATCATTTTTTTGTGTTTGCATATTCTTTAAGCTGATATTTGGCCATAATATTTTACTTCCGCATGACGAAAAAAACCTGCATCAGTCTGTTTATTTAAAGCTGCGTAAAGTTCCTAAAATAACAGTAAGTTTTTATTGCAGATTTATTGATAAGATATAGCTAACTTAATCTTTTTGAAGTTGCTTGAAAACTATTTCAGGCATTTAAAGTAGTCTAAATTTATTTAAAGGGTCCACTTTACTTGGCAATGATTAGCACTTTCGTCAATCCGAAATCTGTCCAATGTTTATATAAAACATCGCACAATTTGTTTAGTTGCCTAAATATTACGAATAGTTTACTAAACAAACATGAAAGTAAATAGCCGGAAAAGTCGATTGCATTTTTCAATGCAGATTTAAACGTATAGAGGTAGGAGTTAAAAGTGAACGCCCAATTTAGGTTTGAAGTATGCGGTTAGATAAAGAATTTACTCTTCTTCAAGAGGCAAAAAGTGCATAGTTTTTACCACAACGCATATTATTATTAAATATATTTTACACACGATATGCCAAGTAATTTCAGGCGCTAATTCATACTTATAAAGCTACCACATAAATTTATTAAATTTTGAAATGTGATTTTAAAATTGTGCAATGGAGGAATTAAATTAGCCATTTAGATATGGGGATTTTTTCATTGGGACATTTTCAAAATTATGATCAGAATATCACTGAACAACTTAAGATTTTTTTCTAGTGTTTTCGACGGTCAAAAGTTAACACGTCCGTGACAACCTACGCAAAATAGTAACAGAGGGAAAATAAATCGACATTGTTTATGTTAACCACAAAATCTTTTAATCCCTTTTGGCATGTTAAATTTTAGATTACTGCATAAGTGTATGTGCAAATTTACTTTTTCGCCCTAATCCAACGTTATCCGGAAGTAGCGCCTGTATGACCTAGAGCGAACTTACTCAGACGCTTGGTTTTGTCTAATGTATATACCGCAACAATGCGGATCAGTATATCGTTTTAGGCTCATTATGAAATGTTACGTTGATCAGTATCTTAATTTTTCAAATGGACTCCTGGAGTTAATACAATTGACAAGATTGACAAAAGGATTGGATAGATAATTGATGTACTATCTCATCTGATCTTTAACAAAGCTACTTTATTTCTGTTTTATGGATTATATATCAAGCTTTGTTGAGGACGTTTTGTTCAAAAAAGCAAGGAGTGGCAAACCATTGTTGCACATCGATTTTTACGCTGTATACATGTTACTGCGGACGAAAATGTGTACTTTGTTACAAGATTTGATCAAATAGTTTTCATACCTAATTTTTTTTTGTAAGGAATTGTTTATGACTTTAGAACATTTGTTTAAAAGAGAAATGGTTCTTTTACAGGAGGTAGACTTCGAATGTCGGAAGAGGTCCTCGTTAAGAGTAAGACATTCAGGTAAGTTTGTCTACATTATTTTATATACATATATATTTATACCTAAGATATTATTTTGAATAGTTATTAAAATGTATGAACAGGATATAGTTTATTATTAAACTATTATCTAACTTATCTGGAATGAAAATGTAAAACTATCCTAGCATGTTGAAGATATTTATAATGTATGAATGTGTATTTATTTTAGCAAAGGATGACTTGTTTATATAAACAAATGTGACTAGACCGTAAGGTTACCTACTGTCAGATTTATTTCATGTTAGTGTATGTGCATACTGTCCAAAGATTTTTTCAAACACATAACAAAAGTGTTCTTTATACCTTTCTCTGAATCACTTATTTACTATATAGTTTTTTTTGCCCTTTTCTTTAAGTATGACAACCTTGTTTTGTTGTGTTTTGTTCTGCATTTAAAATGTAATGCTTTTAGCCAACCCATAAGTATTTTGATGACAATTTTATTGTAAGATAGGGTCATCATGGCTGAATAGTTTTGGGGCCGCTTACATTTTGAATAAGAATCTCAGGCCGCCTCCAGTTCGAATACGTGTCCCTATGACCATGAATTATTTAATTTGAAGAATCTATCATTGTGTCAAGCTAGTTTATTTTATGCTCATGTTTACCGGAAGTAATACACAGTAGGTCACCAGGTGTCAACATTCACCAGTTACGTTTAACAGTCGAAGTCTTTATAACGAACGTTTCATTGCATGGTCTCATAATGTTACATTTTAATTTCAGGAGAAATAACCAAGTCACCAAGACAAAGAGATGCAGACAAACATCCGGTGATTACCATAGAAACTACGGATGAGTTCCGGTTAGCAGCTGATCCAACTAGTCTTCATGTAGCTCTGAAAAAGTCGAAAGATTTAACAGAAAATAGTAAGATATTATTCATTTTCACTGTAACTTTTTTCTCGGATGAAGACTCATTTTTTTGTTACCCTTTGACCTTCTTAACTCCGCCTTCCAAAACCATTGGTTTTCTTTGATTGGTCAATTTCTGTTCTCTTTTACGTCGCACCAGCACAGATTAGGGCATATGATGACGTTCAAGCTTTTCTGGTTGAGGAAGATCTCAGATGCCCTTCAGGCATAAACGGTCACCTGAGTAGAACCACCGGCATTCTGTAAGCTAGCTGGATAGCTCCATCACATGAAAGAATCCGTAGACGATTGCGCGGCTCAAAACTTGCTGTGGTGAGTGGCAATTGGTTTAAAGTCAACGACCATTACCAATCGGTACGGTCGTCCCTATATACTGGAGATATACAAGGGACATAAATATGAACTTTTCTTATAAAAATGTAATAAAGTTTTTATTAGATACTTTATAAGAAACTTTTTGATTAGCTATATGAATTTTAACCAATGTTTTTTCCTTCTTTCTAGATGTGTTCAGAAAAATAGATTTTGGTCCCGACCCTGAAGGTCATGGGCGTTTGAATGTGTTCCAACTCCATAGCAACCCATCGTATTACTTAGCAACAACAAACTTACGTCATTTAGAGCTACAGGTATATTTCTTCTCTTTTTTGCATATGAAAAAAATCTTAAAATACATAGCACAAAAAACATTCATAGTTCTTTATCTGGAAGAAGAGCGCGTAAATAAAAAGCAATTATATAGTAGCAAACGTGAATGACACTTTTTGACCTTCTTTGTTTTAAACATTTATCATTATTAAACATTTACCATTTATAGATCGTGTATTAACCTTAAAATATAACATTTAACACCATTTCATATATATCTCTAGTGTGCCGTGAAATTCATTTCCTTTTTATATTTCAGAGCTATTGTGACGACACATTAGATCTAGAATGCCCGGATGAGAGGTTTTTCCGCTGTTTCCACTCACAGTACGGTGTAGAGTTAGTTCAACCATTTGCGCACAAAGGTAAGGGCACTTTTTTAAGTAACCAAAACACGAGACTATCTAACCGATTATGTGCATGCTTATTCTTAATTGTGTATAACATTTTAAAAGACGGGTCTCCATTTATTGAGTGGCTACTGTCACTGACTTTTTGGCATCCATGAACCGTGTAGCAACTAATCACTTTGCGTTCGAATCTCTATATAGTGAAGTGCTTTCATTTTGAAATAAGAATCACATATCTTCTCATCCTTGTGTGTAAAGTTCAGTATAAAAACAGAAGTTATCTTACTAGTATTTTACATGTACGTTGACGTTGACAGAGGAAGGCCCGCTAAGGCCGTCTAGTGGGATTAAGTTTTCTTGCTCTTTGTCAGACTTTGAACACGATAGATACTATTATCAGCTTCTGGCTTCAGTATGTGTGTACCTTTAACGGTTGAGATCTGTTTTCAGGGTACTACATCCACCACATTGACGATTTTATCAACGTGAGGAAGTTTGAATTGAACTTCCGGCCTCCAGAGGAATTCTTCTTCAACTTTGAAATTCAGTCTACACAAGAAATCCTGCAAATAGCATCCACCAAAAATGTTCCAACAGAAAGTTCTTCGAGTACCTTGCGTGCGGGTAATGACGTCATGTCCGGTGCAGCGGGGTGTGACAGCCAATCAAATTCATTAACGAGAACAGTCGTTCCTGATATTTCAAAATCAAGTTTAAAGAGAAAAGACTCTAAAAAGATGAAAAATAAAACGAAAGACAGTCCAATCACACCAAAGAGCGGAATGTTAAGCTGTTTTGGTCTGAAAAGTTTAAAGAAAAAGAAAGACAAAAGCAAGAGGTGACAGTGATACGAATTAAATTTGTTAAAAACAACAGTATTTTAATGTACATAGCAACACGTTTGTCTGTAATTTATTTATTTATGTTGTTGTTTGTTTGTTTATTTATTTATTTCAATATTTTTTAAGTTTTGAGCATTGATCAATACTTCCAATGGAAGCTTTTTTTCATGGATTCTTTTTTAAAAGAAAACAATGTATTGTTTATGTATATGCATGTATGTATATATATTTACTGTTTTATCACCGGAACATATTACTGCATTTTAAACTCAAAGCTGTATATGACTTTAATACTCATAATTCTCGTTTTATAAAGACATAATTTCTTAAACCTTGATCAAATTAAATGTTTTAAATTTAAAAAAAAATGAAAAAAAGTTTAATAAAAGGGTTATGCTATATATCTATATAGATTTTAATCCCAGAAAATTAATTTGCATATGTATATGCGTGCCTGGAACTAGTGGGCTATCCTTTGGCTTAAAAAAGAAATATTTTCATTTCTCAAATTAAATACCGTTTTGGGCATATTCAATAACAGGATATAGGATATGGGATAACTCGTATATAGGAAGTCACTTAAGGTTATTGAACTTCTGTATTCAACAGTCAACCAGTGCATTTTATGGGGAAAAACAAATTATTATCAATCCCTGTTGAAAAGTAATATTGCGACTTTGGATGACAATTTAATCTTCTGACCAACGCAATACATCTTAAAATTGTCATTTATTTTTAATCCTATTTGAAATAATTCATTCTGATAAAAAGTACAGACAAAATACGTTGGTGGTTGAATTTTTTCTGTAAACAGGCTGTGAACCCTTAAGATTTAAACTTAGTCATTCTTGTTTTGTTTTTGTGAGAATGATATATCTTGTTACATTTTGCTATTGTGTTTTTGAAAGCGATCTATAACATTTACCAATTTACCATTCACTTGTGAATAATTACGTACGGATTCTGTCTATACATCACAGTAGTAGCCCACTTTTGATATGGTGTTGTAATATTTGACGTCATCAATCGTGAATTCATTTTCTTAAATATATATGACATAATGTAAAATCATTTTGTACAATACGACGTCATTTATCGTAAAATCATTTTGTAAATATGACGTCTCTGTGTGAAATCATTTTTTAAAAATACGACGTTATTTGCCGTAACATCATTTTATAGAAAATTACGTCATTTATTGTAAGATCAGTTCGTTAAATATGACGTCTTTTATTGTATGATCATTTTGTAAATGCATGAATCATTTTGATTAATTATTTGAATATATTTTATGCAAGAAGAAAATAGTGTGTGACGGCTTGATTTTAAACCACCATCTACTATCGTCAGGTTTATTTCATTATTAAAGATTAAAAACATATTCAATGCATTTCTAATGATTAATTTCTCTATCAAAATCGAAAATTTATCAGTATTTTTTCAATGTTAAGATTTCCTTATCTTTGATGACATCGAAATGATATAAAAAGATTTTCTAAAAAAATAAAACTTCTTAAATTTATCATTCTAAAGTTAACAAAGTTAATCCACCTATCAGACCAAGATAGAACAACACACAAACAGTGTGATTGTGGCAAAAGTTGCGTATTCAATTCATTTATCATTTCTGATTAAACTTTGGTGCCATATGATATGCTTTGGGTTTATTAACGAGCGGTGCTATCAGACAAAAATAAAATGAAGTAAAAAACAAAATGTGTTTCTTTTTATTTCTTTATGATGATTCAGAGTATATAGCCATGTTTGTACTAACTACCGTTTGCTGCTTACGTTATATTTCAAAACAAGTCATATTATCAAATATATTATACGTTACATAAATGTATTCTCTCATTATTGACATACGTATATTGTACCAGTCGGCCTTTAAACGGTCCGACAAAAAACTTAAAATAAACGTCGGGGGCAAACACAAATACGTTTTCTGTAGGACCGTTAAATTATAGTGCAATGTATTCGTGGGGAATATTCTATAGAACTCGCAATACTTACTTTTTCGTACACGGTCATAATGATTATCAAATATATAACGACCGTTGTTCGTTGCTGGAAAAAAACTATGTCTCAGAAAAGCGTTTTTGACGTCCGTTTTGGCTTCCTGCCAGTCGTATTCAGTGCTTCCAGCGCTTTGATCTAATTTGTAGTGTTATCTGTATCATTTTCTTTAGGATCAGCACAACTCTTAAATTAAATAATCGATACCAAAACATGTTTCAAGTGGGACCTTAAATTTTAATTACATGTTAATGCATTTTGACCGAACATTTGCTCTAAATATCTGAAACGGTGACATTTTTGAACGTATGTTTACTACATCATATAGTGCGTGATGAAATTTATTAAACTTTCTTCAGATTTTAATCTTATTTTCTAGAAGAAAAAACATTTAAAAAGACCATAACAACATCTAGTAAGGTGTGAAGAATACCGGGTACCCTGCGTTTTGTTTCAGAATATTCATCAAGAAACAGTAAAGTTATCAGTAAAACCTTTCTTGAATAAAGTGAAAATGTGTGACTACCTTTACCCAAAAAGTCACGTGGGGTAGCCACTTTAACACCAAAACGGATTACAGATACATTTTAATAGTTTACAACTGATTACTAAATCATTATAATGGGCTACAGTAACATCACTTCACAGTGATATTTTTTCATATTATATAACAGAGGCCTTTAAAACAAAAGTTTGTTTTAAATCATATATGCAGTTTTCTTACATCAGCTTTTTTAAGTCCCAAATTAGCATTTTAACAATATTTTTTCCTCAAATGAACAGGCTAAGGACTCTTCCCAAATATGTTAGAAAAAACACTGCTTCAATCTGCCCAATTCTGTAAGTAAAAACCAAACATCACAAAAACACCAAAACCCTACTCCGTGTTTCTGTTACTGTCATGCGTACATCCGCCTTCTATATAAGCTCAATAGGGAAAGTATCTGATTTGTAATGCAGAGGGCGCTGGTTCTATCCCAGGACGAGGCTATCCCAGGACAAGGCTATCCCAGGACAAGGCTATCCCAGGACGAGGCGAAATTCTTCCGTGACAATTGACCTCGGACATCGAGTCTAATGGCCATTTGTCTCTCATCACTGATTCAGAAATCATGTGCGATTAGTTGCCGGTCACTTGCGGAGAAAATGGCGGATTATCGTTAGTTATCCAACAAAGTCGGATTAGTGATATATAACTAACAAAAACATGACAGAAAACAAATGACGCAACAAGCAAAAGTCAAGCGTACTTTTACAATGCTCTTTATATGTTCTCATACAATATTAGTGTTAAATATTAGTGTAAAAATATTGAAACTCTATTGGTGATTTGCGTAAATGATTATAGATGATAAGTGATTATGACGTCATTAACGCAGATATTCACCAAGTAAATGTCCAGCACATATTTTTACTGTGTCAGTCCTTTTCTAAATAAAGGTCAATAGAACAGAAATAAACTACTTTGAGATGTGACACGTATATCGTTCTTCGTAAACGTCAATGCTTTACCCATGTACTTTAAGTCTGTCACTCATCATATAAACATTATAATTATAAATGGCTCAAGTTAAGTTAACATAACGAAACAAAATAACAGCCGACTGGATAACATATGTTAACAGACTTGAAATATCCAGCATGCCGCTGCCTTATAAATATGATTTCTTAAGACGTATCATGACATTACATGATGAACAAGAGCAATTCTCCCATTACCAAGTATTCAATAATGATCTGACCTAGTTAAATGATGACGTAAATGTATGACGATGACGATGGACAATAGTTTAGTACTTTGCGATATATTTGGTATTATAGCATAAAATTTTCAAACAGATTCGTGATGTATAGTTTATACAGAACACAATTACATTAAATTCTTGTGCTTGGACGGTATTTATCCAATGCTATGTTTTACGTATGCGTTTCATTTTTCCGGGGCCAACAACTTGGAAAATTCTCGGAACCGAACGAAATTTTGAATTTTAATTGATTTAACAAAGCTTGGCCTTTGGAGATTTATTATATCAAGAAAAAAAAACGTTACATTACTCTACCCTCTACCCAAGACAAAACATGACCCTCAGAAATTCTTAGAATGATTTCAGATTGACGGTAGAAAAAGGATCAGTGACATCAGAATCGGTTTTTGTTTCAAGCAAACAAGTTTATAAAAATATCAGGCACTAAGCATTATTCTCTCAAAGAAATATAAAGAGCATTTATCAACATTAACATAAATAAAAACATTTTCTCATAGTAATTTTGTGTTATCTAGTTTTGTAAGTTAATCGGAGTGTTAAACTGAATGACAGGTAGATTCTACTGTATTTGTTTACATTGACAACTGTCCGTTTTAGAAAGGGCGACAACCAAGATTAGCACCGATGTCTATACGCCGTTTTTCCGGCATAGTTACTTGAATATGCAACTGAGGCCCTCGAATCAATAAATTTCAATATAACAAGAGCGCATGACTCTTTGGCAAACAGTCCAAATCGTCATTTTTTGTTTGTTTGTTTACTGGGCCCTGTATGTATTGCGCATAGGTGAAACCGGGCTATAACAAGAGCGCGTGACTATGTTAACACATGGTTTTGGTCCCGTTATAACATGGGCAAAAGAGGGAATAATAGCCGATTTTATGCTATAATAGCGTCAACGCACGTTTATTTCGTGTTATAAAGTCTGCAGAGTCCCTCGGAACTGTTGGAGCCCTCGCCCTACCGGGCTCGGGCACCAACCGTTCCTCGGGACTCTGCATGACGTTATAACACGGAAAAACGTGCGTTAACCCTATAAAATAGGGAATGGGAAAAACGATAACGTCATTCAATAAGTATAATGGATTCCGATCAATTCGTGTTTTCCCCGTGATGCCCGTTTTTCTCAGTAAACTACTTCCGTCCATTTTTTTTCAAAACAATAAAACATTTGAAACATACTTTATTACCGTAAAGACCGCTCTGTGAGGTAAATGAAAATTAAGAGCTTAATATGTTTACGTCACTTACATTGTAAAAGAAGTAGCGTTTTGTTCCAGTCACAGATTTCTTTTAAAACTGTTGTTAATTTTCTATTTTCTTGAGCGAAACCTGTGATATTACACTTACACCAGAAAATATAAAAAAGTGTCAATAAATGGAATCATTATGTGTTTCTGTTAGTTACCCTTAAATACATTCATTGTATTCTATCAGTCGGGCATACTTCCTGATCGGGAAACAAGGGGATTCCCCTTCAAGGCTTCCCGATCAGGCAACAAACGTCAAAATCCTTCCCGATCGGGAAGTTTATTGGTCTTTTTTACGTAGTTCAAGAAAAATGGCCGGTGCATAACAGTTTTCAATCCACTTCAATATGAATATCACACTTTAGTTCAGAAAAGATACATCTAAAATCCTACCGAGTCATTGTCTTTTAAAATGTCTACAATTAAAATAATCTAAAAGTGAACTTAAGTAAAGTTTTTAGATTTTACCAAAAACTAGCCACTTCCCGTTTTGGGAACGTTGCTTCCTGATCAGGCATCTAGCAAAATATTAATCATTAAAAGTTTAAGATACACTGCTTCCCAATCTGTAAGGACCTTATATTTGTAGTAGTACCAAGCCTCGATGATTAGAAATTGCTAAGCCTGGTCAGTTTTTAAAGACATGTGGCACATAATTCAATCACGACGAGTAGAATATATCTGGTGAAGCTTGTGTCCTTGTTAGGCGTAATATTATCTATCAAAACATTAGCTATACTTGACGGACACTACAAAAATCATCATCATTATAATACAAAAATTTGATATTGTTAAAATTGTTTAGCACATTGCGCAGAGAGTAATATCTCAAAACAATTACCATGCAGCTCAAATAATTAAGTTAAATTAAATGTTGACTAGAGCTCAATAAAATATTATTTTTTTGACTATAGCTCAAGACGTGTTTGCATACAACATGTGTTTGTAGTGACTGTGTCATATTTCTGTTTTCTGAAACTTAAAGTGTATAAAACTATATATCTGATGATAAAATTATTGTTTGAATTTTAAAAAAGTATACTTCCAAAATGATTGTATGAAATAAATATGGTAATTTATTGCCTTAAACGCGAATGGCGCAAGCACAAAAATATTGCTAAACGGATAAAACCCTTAAAATAGCAAAACAATATTGCGTTCCTGTACAGGATTCATGTTTATTAAATATCAGAGACATTCTATGTTACATTCCCTTTTTCGGGATTCAACCATATAATAGTGGAGCCAGCATAATTTTGTTGTGGAATATTTCTTAAGATATAGAACATACCCTTTAAGCCACTTTAATTTAAAAATATGAATAAAATATAAGATAAATACATAAATAATACAAAAAAATATCATAATGACATATATTCCCCCTTTCTACCTGCAATTGAATGAAATCTATCATAAATAAGTTAAACAAAATAGAGAGTAGCTGGAATAAAATATATATTATCATATAAATGTAAATATGAGCATCTACTTTGAACATTCAAGGTTATTTTGACCTTGTCCTCTGACCTAGTGACCTCAAAATCAATAGGGACCATCTACTAGTTATGAACAATTATATTGTAAAACATAAAAACTTGATAACTGAAGATAATGCGTAGAAACCATTCTGACATTTAACGCCCTGTGACCTTTGACCTAAAGACCTCAAAATCGATAGGGGTCA